GATTGAGTTGCTCAAATGGTTCGCAGGCCTGACACTGTTTTGTTGACATCCGAGTTAGAGTAATTGAAAACTCGGACTAATCTTTTACGAACTAGCGAAAAGTGCAAACAAAATGGTCAATTTTCCGCGCCACATGCACAATCGATTAAGGAGGGCTCATGTGGTAAAGTTGACTGGACTTGTGAGTAACGATCCTGTTTTGCCGGATACGAGACAACATGAAGCACAGCCGAATTTTATATTCCGCTGTGTGAATCCTGGCTGTCGGATAATTGCTGTGCACCGTCTAGTTCAATAGTTCTCGATCACTCTGCCTGGAAGCCTCGGGGGACGGGGTATGTCATACCATTTTTAATGGTCTCACGTTTGTGTATAATTTACAGTCAAATTCCATGAGGAGGACCGTGATCATGCCAAACCTGTCTGGGATACACATAAATTAAAATGACAGATGATGATAGCAGGGAGTTGGCGGTGCTGCCACTCCTCGGCACAAGCGAGACCGTACTTCCGCCTTATTCGAGAGTTCCAGTACGGGAACGAAAAAAAAACGGGTTGAAATTCGAATTTGCTGTTACTTGTCTTAGCTATCCCATGCACTTCATATACGCGTAGTGAAAGGGTATCTGGTATGGTATTTGGTTCTCGCTTGTAAACAGAAAATTTATTGCCATCAGCTGAAGACGACAAAATGGTATTTCTAGCTAAAATTCTCATTGAACAGATTGAAAGGGAAGTTTATATACACACATACACACAGACACACACACATATATATATATATATCGAGATGGTGTGCTTGAGAAATAAATTCTTTGGTCTCACCAATACTGCACATAATACACTTTTGAAATGCCTACTGTGCGGTTTATCATTATACAGCAATCTGGTTTATCGGTCCCACGACAACGAATACTTTGAGAATATATTTCTTAATTTGATGCCAATATGACAGACATCGGAGTGAAATGAAGCGCGTAGAGTTTATTATTGCCTACTGTATTTAACAAAGGTCTAAGGTCAGGGGAAAACACTTGACCCTTGGGAGAATTGCATGCATGAGTAATTGCATGCTTCGACCCCGGCCCATCACCTTCGTAAAAATAGAAGGCTATCTCGAAGGCCACCCGATGCACGCATGACCTGGCGAGTTGCTTGACAAATCAACAGTCGGCCGTTTGAAGCGTTTTTCATTTCAAGTGTAAAATTCTAGGTTTTCTTTGCGAAATCATTCGAAAGGAAAGCATTGGAGTGATATCAAATCCTGGGGATGAGCGATGACCGGGTATGCATACTTGATGAGCCGTAATCACTTCGAAATTGGTTGTATTATTCCTGTGAAATTTCATCCAGTCCTTCAGATATGCAGTATTATTGTTATTACTATTACGGTGATTACTACGTAATTGTGCGCAATATCAAACGAGACTGTGGGGCATGGAAACGTTTTGCCCAAGGCCACTCAGGGGCAACCTGCTCTTTAGGTGATACTCCTCAAAATTTCATGTGAAGAAGACAATTTTCGTCGATATAATATTTTTCCCGTCATTTCTTGCATACTATACTTTTAAAGTAACATCTATCTATCTATCTATCTATCTATCTATCTATCTATCTATCTATCTATCTATCCGTTTCTATCTATATATCTATCTATCTATCTATTTATCTACTAAGCTGGCTGTCAGTCAGTCAATCAGTCAGTCAGTCAGTCAGCTGCAGTGAGTTGGTCAGTCAGTCAGTCAGCTATTCTGCTTGTCTGTCTGTCTGTCTGTCTGTCTGTCTGTCTCCCATGTTTGTATGTGTGTGTGTTCTCAACCCATCTACATGATTGGCTCTCCGTTTTGTGAACGGGACATGCAGGTTCAATCAATCCTCATCGGACTGAGCATTGATCACCATCACTTATGTGTTTTTAAACACCCTTTAAACAAAACAACTTACTCAACATTATCACCATATTTAATGGTTGTAATGAGAACTCACCCTCATCAGCAGATTCTGGTATCTGCACGATAAGTTTAAACGGATACCAATTTTATAGAGTTTTATTTTAAAACGTCTGTACCACTTTGCCTGTCTGTTGACATCACTATGCAATCAAAGGGATCCAACTTCCTCTGATTACCAATCAACTGGGCCCACACACATCTTGTTAACTAGCATCCGTGATATTCACAGTCTCCAGGTTATTCTGGTCATGAATCCATTATTGAACGCCGGGAAGAAAACAACTGGTTGACTGACGACAGGTGTGTCATGAATGACCAACGACTCTGGGTGTTTTCTTTTAGCGGTTGCCCACAGTTTCCGCTGTGATTCTTCCCTCTTTTTGTTCTGATTGACATCCGTTGCCTAGTCAGTATCAAATGTAGTTCAATCCAGTTCACTATCTACCCTGGTCCAGACAGACGTTCAAAGACAGGCTGGTTTTCGGTGTTCTTTTTTGTTGCTGTTTGTTGTTGTTGTTGTTGAGCGTACGTAGTATAGTAAACAACAGCCTGATTGAATCTCACAATCGCGTATTGGGAAACATGTACTCAAGAGGTCATAGTTAAATTAAATATATCAGCGGAAAATGAATATACAAAAAGAGAGAGAACACAGATTTATCAATACAAAGAACACTAACTGATCGGGGGTAGGGAGTCACTTCGTCAAACTTAACCCACTTCTGGAGAGAGAGATAGAGAGGGTCACAGACGGAAGTTTGGTGCCACATGGAACAGCGGACGGATTTTGCTTGGTGTCTAATAATAACAAGTAAAACAGAGCATAAGGAAACCAAAAGTGAATCTTTTCGATCTAGAGACAAACTGAAGGAAGGTTCCGGGAGTGCATTCTAAAGTACTGAAAATCGATCACGAATGGCTTTCCCGGTCATTTGTAAACACTTTAAGTCAAGACTATAGATTGATAGGTGGATAAGATTGCCAGTTCTTCAAGACGGGAATGTTATAGATTGGTCTCGAGTTATAAGGAAAGAAGTATTTAATGGAGTGGGATTAATTGAGAAGAAATGGCATTATTTCAGGTCAGGGAGTTAGCGCCGTAAATAAGACAATCTGGTGAGATGGCATCAAGTCCGGTAGAAATCCATGCTCCTGGGTAGGATGGGGACATCTATTTATGTCCACATACAAAAAGTTTTCTGCTCTAAGTAGGAAAGTCAATGAGGAATAAATGAATAAATGGATTCAAGAACTCCATGTTATTCTGGCCAGCGAACAATAACTCATTTCGAATAAAACGATTGGGGGTTTTATGCTTACTTTACTGGTGTATTTCTTTTGTTGTGGTAGTATATTTATTGAGGAGAATGTTAGTCTTCTGTGGAATGTTCATCAAGAACCATACAGAATCAGACAAAACGGCTGTCCTTTGGATATTGTTGCACGGACCAAAATAAAGTCGAAGGACGAATCACGTATCATTTACAAACAGGGATTATGGAATTGCTAGAAAGTGATACAATTGGTTATTGGCACAAAACTGTCCAAATCCAATTAACCAACTTCGTACTCGATTACTTCGTGTATGCAGACTAATTGGCAACCGCAGGATAATGATATAGTCGTGATAGTGGAAGACGTAATCGTTCGTAGAATTCAAATCTCCTTTTTGTGGTGCGCTAACATTTAAGAAGAAATAATTATTGGTCCACTTGAATATAATCCGTTTTTAGAGAGGTATTATATAGTTTTTGCTATTCTGTTTTATCACACTGTATCGCTTGATGAATGGCCAAAAAGGGCATTCCCATTGGCAAGAGGATCGGTTGTTCACCCATAGAAACCGTCTATCTAATCCCCCTGTACTTGGTGTGGTGAACCACATTAGATCCACATTAACATAGGCGTGGTGACAGTGAAGCTGCCTACTACCACAGTTGGGTGGCGCCTTTTATTGATTTGTTCTTTTTAAACCGATGACAGGATTAGCACTAATGAGGATGATGATGATGTTTAATTAGATTTGATAATAGCGTGGACAGTATTTCGCCCGTCAATCAACTGTTTACTTTTTCTGTTTCCCGACACTCATTTTCAGGAACCCAAGCCACTCTAACCTGCTTCACGGGCCAAGGAACAATTGTGAATCGATTATCCAACCGGCCAATTACCAGCACGGAAGAAGTGGTTGAAATTGAATTGCAGACGGTACACGGAAATGCCAGTATTTTTCATGCAGGCAAGTGATCCGTATCACGGAATGCATACTTTCATCTGACCAGCAGCCTGATCAACAATCCACTTTGTGCATGATCAAAGTGATGTAACCATTATGATGAGGAAGACAATAATAATAATAATAATAATAATAATAATAATAATTTATAAAAATGTAATGGGATTTCGTAGATCTAGCTTTGAGATGGTGCCTGACTCTGGGGATGGTACTCCAAGTCTTCCCGCCAATCAGATTGCGGGACGGGCGTGATTGGTTGTGTAAGAGGAGTCAAATTGTACACAGTGATTGGTTGATTGAACCGTGACGGGCTCGGTTCATCTGTATTAATAACTCTGTTTCATTCTCACGAATCGCTTTCGGGAAACAAATCAATATAGGCACGTGACCTTTGCTAGGACACCGTGGTGAACAGTTTGTCTGGCAAATGGTGACTATCGATAACACTGTCATCCATTTTGGTCTCATTCGTTTTTTAGCGTTGGTTTCAGTTTCTTTCTTGATCAGGATGAACGGAAAGGAAAACACAAAGAGGCGGTCATACTTGATCGTGGTCAAAGATCATTCGTGCAATTATATGCGTATATCCTTTGCTCCCTTTTTCTTTAGTACAAGGGCTGAGCAAAAATGTTTCTGAATAAGCGGTACACAACGAGTACGAGGTACAGATAATCGGGTAAGGAAAACGTGAACTGTAATCTGTTGGGAATATTGATCTGTTATTGTAACGTACAGAACCAAACTTGAACACAGCCGAGAGCATAGCTCACAAGTCATACGAGGGTCGCTATATACTCGGACTGTCGTAAGGATGGAACTTAGTCGATACCACTGTGGTTTAAAGCCGCGGAAGCAGCAGAGTGCTGATTGTTTGTAAGCTTCCTTTGGTGCTGACGCACTTTTAGGAAGCCGTGTATTTGAGTGGTTTATGGAATTCAAGCCTGGTAGGCAGTAACGGGATGACGAGATAAGATGTGATCAACCTGTGGAGGCCACTACAGCAGACAATATTGTTGTTGTGCAGGCAATATTGTATGGGAGGTGCACGAGTGACAGTAGTAAAGCTGGCGCCGGCAATCCATATATCATCGGGATCAATCGGCACCATTTTACATGAGAAGCTCTAACGCAAAGGGATCTATCTGTACCCTAGATACCCCATCAGCGCAGTGCTTAACAGAAACCAGTTCCGGGGTGAATTGGTGCAGCACCATGCTCGGCAAGTTTAATGCTGGACGTTCGAATGCAGTTTTGGAGAGCACCAGTGGTGATGAGACCTGGGTGAAAAAAGTTCGAAACAGGGACCAAACAACAATCTCCTCAGTGGATGCCGAAATTCCGACGCGAGCACAGTATGGCAAAGCAGATGGTGGCTGTATTCATGTCTATTGTACCGCTCGTACAGTACAGCACAGTCAGCGGAGAATGGTACACCACCCAATATCTGTCGAAAGAACTGGACGCTGTTGCCAGGAGTCGTCCAATGATTTTGCCGCACCAATATAACGCACCTGAACACGGGTCTCATGTCATCGGTGACGTCCTAGCTACAGAACGCATATACGAGGTTGGTCACCCATCCTACAGTCCAGACCTGTCTCTGTGTGACATTTTGTATTCGCAAGTGTCAAGCGCATGATGCGTGGAATCCAATGTGAGACACCAACAGCTGCAGCAGAGACATTCATTGAACTGATCTAGGGGTGTTTAACCGGCTTCGCCATGATCGAGCTCTTTCACCAAACAATTTGAGTTCATGGAAGTATGCCTGAACGCTGGTGGAGAATACTTGAAGAAAAACATAACGCTTATTTTTGTGTCGTAATAAATAAAACTGTTTGTAGGTACCATGGCTTACGAAGTAGATGTGACAACTCACAAAGATATTATTTCATTTGACACAATAGTCTTTCACACTCTGACGACATTTTATCCTTTGCAGAGCAAGAATGATTATTTGTGGACACACCGACTAGTATTTGAAATAAAACAATGTCTTTTCGTGTTTAAAATACTTCATTGAAATTTCCTAACTTTTCCAAATAATGAGTTTGATACGTTATACCCGAAGTTGGTAAAAAATCCATCAAGCCTTCCAATCACGCTCAATGGGCTCATGGATTGTTTTTATGGGACAAAACAAGGCTAGGTATCCGCCTCAACATCACCGGACGTTTCCGTGATTCCATCTGTTACTGTACAGGCTGGTCAACAAATGTGAGTGCTGTTCAGTTCACCCAGATTCGTATTTCGAATAAAACTTGATTTCGGTATCGCGTAAGTTCTTGATAATCACGCCAACTTGATCAATGGAATTCCTTCGATCGATAGTGGTTATTGCAATACCAGTCGAAGATAAAGAAAGCATCCTTGCTCACTCCACCCCCCCCCCAACACTAACCCTATTCACTACGCACATGCGTGTTGAGGAATAGTTTTTGGTAAAGCATACACCACTGTCTATTTCCCATTTCAATTTATCCATACATGGTGTATGGATCGCGGATATCATGCTCCACAACAATTATCGTCTCTGTGTGCTACGCACCGTGATTTCCTCATCTTGACCGCGTAGATATGTTACCGTCCAACAATAGGCATTTTTCAATTAAAATCTGGGATATATTTCTTTGGGATAAGCCAATGAGATCGCTCAGATGGCGCAGTTCATGTGAAACAAAATCACACGGAAAACAGCGTGTTCCCGAAACAGAACACGGCACCGATTTGTCACATCGGCACAGCGTACTAAAGTCAGCGATTCGCTGAATTCTTGTAACATTTTGTAATGTGAACTATGCTATCTTGTGGGAGCATCCATAATGCGTATGCACTACATTTGACACTGATCAAAGTTGAGTCATCATTCTGAATCAATTTTTGAATGACATGTTTGAAAGAACCTCAGTGTTGACATTCCAGTGATGTCCGACTAATCGTCTAGGAGTCATGATGGATAAATGTTGTCCGTACGACGAACATCTCAGCGTTTTGTCAATTTATTTATTTTCTCATTCATATAAATATTTTCAAATTTTATTTAAGGATTTCTAAAAGGATGAAAAATGACGTAATCGGAAAAGCACTCTGAGTTGCATGAAGAGAGATGTGGTCTGGGTTCGAATCTCGTCGAAGGCTCAATTTAACGCAAGCTGTGCTGGTGTTTCAAGACACGAATGTTTGGCTTTGAAAGCAATCACTGGCCTATTGTGGAGATTGGACTAGAAGAACAGTGTCAGGTTCTAAAATTCATTAAGTTTAAAACAATAAAAAATGATAATCGATGTCTGTGTTTATGTAAAAGTAACCGAGGGGACTAAAATGATTGGTGTGCTCTGAGATGATACTCACATATTTAAGTAGTATGTTTGGAGGTGCGCAAAAGTATGTGGCTAGCGGTTTCTCACACAGCGGTAGAAAAATGATAATTACCTCCCGAAGTGTATAAGTGTGTTCATAACTGTAATTACGGGTAATACATATCTACCGTCGGACGTTTTGATCAATGATTTTGCGTACTTGTTAAAACTAGTATACGTCTGTTCCAAACGAGACTTTTCGGTCTGTGTAAGCCGGCATACACACATTCAGGTGTTCTGATACCACGTGGGACTTGTGGAATCAGAACAGATGTACAAGCAGAGAGGATGAAGGAACATTGCATTATCTAGTAGTGAGGGTAACATTTCTATCACACGCGATCGCTTTTTTATGACAAAAACAGACGCCAGTCTTATGATTTGCACAGCAATCTTTAAATCAATAAGAATAAGAGTATTTTTCAGCTAGCCGGATGCGATGGAAAAAATTGCTGGTAGTTAAATGGCAAGCTGCCATGAGAACCACCAGTAGGATACACCGCCCTAGCTGGGTACGATCGTATCAGAAACCGCGTTTTCCCCAATCACTTGTTGTTAACCATGATCAGTTGCAACGAACGTCTACGCTGCGCCATCATCTGCAGCACGGACCGTAAATCCCCGAGATAAATCAACAGCATTCTTTTGTGGTCATCTGTCAATACATCCCAGGTGATTGGGCTTGGTCCAAACACCTAATGTTGCAAAAGGGAAGCACTTCAGCACGCTATTGTCCAACTGGAGGATTAAAGTAGAATTAAAGAGGTTTCCTTCATAATGAATACCCAGAACGATTAGTGGACAACATTGTATTAAGCTCCAGGCTAATTCAGCGTTTTCAACTCAAAGATAAATTGCCTGTTTCTGCAGTCTTTTTCCATGCCTGCTTGTCCACTTGCTCCTGTGGGACAAGTGACATTGGCCGCACCAGCAGACATTTATCCGAACGAGTCCGCGAGCACCGCCCGGCCTGGTTGAATAGTGGAGTGATTAGGTCCAGCAATAGTTCAATCCTTTCACATCTATCAGGGTCAAACCACGCGATTGATGTGGCCAAGGGGTTTCGACCCATTTGCCTCGTTCCAAGTCGTCAATCTAAGGGAATTAGGAATCGCATTCTGGTCACAACGTAAGCGATCGGAGCCCGCCTTTGTAATTCCCCTTCCCTATGCTCCCCAAAATACTTTTTAATAACATTCGGTCTTCCGGGGCCAATACCACACATACGACAGTCATCCACCCTCATTCGACCCTAATGACTCGAACCAATGCGTATGTGTGATGACCAAAGTGTGAGCAACATCCGGTCTTGGAGCTGGAATGTTGATTAATTCTGTTCCTGTGTCGATTGTGAAAGATTCAGTAGCCTCGGTGGGATTCGAGCCCACGCGTGAATGCAGCCTACGCTTTGTACGCGCATGCTGTATCAGCTGAGCTACGAGGTCACATCGATACAGTATGCGCGTACAAAGCGTAGGCCGCGTCCATGCGTGGATTCGAATCCCACCGAGGCTACTGAACTTTTCACAAGTGACATACAAAATTCAAATCTGCCAAACAACAATTTGAATAATTCTGTTCACACAGTGTCATGATTTCTTAGTGATGAACTGGGATGATAAACATCGGGACAGTAAATGGAATCCAATAAAGCGGAAATAGTTCAAATAAACGAGTAAAATGAGGCGATCACAATCAGGTTGACCAGCACACCAAAATGAAATGGGCTAAGAATTTGTAACAAAAAATTGTTTGAGTACGCTGCTTTGAAATAATCGATTAACGAATTCTGTCAGTTGTATTTCGCAATTCCAGACTATCTAACCACTGTGAACATCTGAGTAAGTTCCGGTTGAAAAGTGTTTGTGATCTTCTGTGGGCGAAATTCGGGATGAGCAGGTTTTCAAACAGTGTAGGCCTTCACGAGATGACCGGAGAATTCGACCGCGGAAGAGTCTTTCGGACAGCTGGAATACATTTTTCGGTGTTGTCCTTAATTGTAGTAAAATGTTCATGGGAGCAGCAAGTGGTATGTTAATTGCACGGATTTAATCAACCACTGAAAATCACATGTATTAAAGAATCACAATATATGGAATGTGTGACGCTGATTTATTCTGCCGAGCGATCGAACTGCTCCTACCTGTTAAATATGATCCGGCAAACATGTTGCGATTACCGTCTTGATTCATTTTGACCGCAGACAATTCCCGACAAAAAATGTTTAGCAACAGAATATTAGGCTTAATCTTACTGTGTTCCGAAAGGCTTTGAGAAAGAGTTTTGTTTTATGGGCTGTTCATTATGTAGCTGTTCAATTTCTGGTTGACATACGAGGGCTGAGCAAAAGGTTTCCGGATGCACAGAATAATTCATTTATTAGTACACAAAAAAATCACATTTTCTCCAACTATTCTTCATCAGTGTTCATGCCCACACTTCCATGCACTTAAACCATTTGGTGAAATAGCTCGACCATGCCGAAGAGGGTAACCCTTTGATCAGTTCAGTAAAGGCTTTCTCACTGCAGCTGTCATCATCACGAGCGTGATATTTGGGAACACAAAAGGACACATGGAACCTGATTTGTACTGCAGTGTGCGTGACCAACATCCTGAATGCGCTCCCTAGCTATGGGACCTGTGTGCAGGTGTGTTGTCATAGTGCAGCAAAATCCCTCTCGAGTCCTTGGACGAAGCCTGGAAACAGCTTCCAGCAATTTCGGTCTGCATTGGGTGGTGTACCAGTCTCCGTTGACTTTGCCTTGTTGTACGAGCGGCACAGTAGCCATATGACCGTTTTTTACTATGAATACAGCCACCATCTTCTTTGCCACGTTGCGCTCACGTCGGAATTCCTTAGGTGGCATCCTACCGACCGGAGTCCATCGAGCGGACTGTTGATTGGTCACTGAGCCGAAACTGCACATCCGGGTCCCATCATCAATGATGATCTCCCAAATTGCATTAGAACGTCCACCTTCAAACCTGGCAAGCATGGTGCGACAACCATTCCCCCGAACTGCTTTCTCTTCCTCACTGAGCTGATGGAGTGCCCAGATTGCAAAATCCTTCCTGAAGGCGAGCTTATCATATGGGATGATGCGGATTGATCCCGATGAGATATCGATTGCCTGCGACAGCAGAACTACTGTCACCCGCGCACCCTCTATCCAACGTCGCTTGCATAGCAGCAATGTTGCACGCTGTGGTGACCTCCACAGGCCGACTACACCGTGTCGCATCAATCGGGGACCACCTACCACGCTTGAATTCCCCAAATCACTAATAAACAGTGCTTCTTGAAGGCGCGTCATCACCGAAGTCAGCTTACAAACGATCAACACTCCACTGCTACTGATTTTAGCCACAGTGACATCGAATGAGCTCCATCCTTACGACAGTCCGAGTGTACAGCGACCCGGGTATGACTTGTGAGCTGTGCGCGGCTGTATTGATATTTGGTTCTGTGAGCAAGTTGCAATCATTGAACCCTATTCACAATGGATTACAGTTCACATTACCCTTTCCCGATCACCTGCCCCTCGTTACTATCTTGCTCGGCCTTCATATCGCATGATTTTTTGATCCCGTTCTCATGTACTCAGTTATTGTTTTATCATCTCCGTGCAAACGAGTCTCAACATTTACCCCTTTATGATTCCCAAAATATCCTTGATCTTCCAGGGAGTGATAATCAATGGCTCAATATCGGTCTCTCCGACGGGTGGCCCACTTTATCCGTTCAACTTCCAGTGACCGGAGTGTTAGATCCCGCGAAAACCACAAGTCAAACACCGGCAAGACAACCGAGTCCGGTTCAAGCGACCAAACGGTTGGTTGAACTGGATATTCGTGTTCCACCAAGCAGACGTAGTGGTGGTGGTGGTGCGGTCCGTCTGGACGACAATCAATGGCACGAGATTCGGCTACATCGTACTGGAAAAGCAGTGAGTTTTCACGATTGAAGTATCCGTTTCATTTTCCTACAGAATTGTCCTAGTTGGTTAAAAATTCTATGAGTATGTCTTGGTTGTTTGGTTGGTTGATTGATTGGTTGGTTGGTTGGTCATAATTCTCGTCTGTTAACCGCTGAATAAACATTTGTACGCATGCGGTTTCTAACGAGGAGTTCTTGAGAATACGTAAGACACAAGTAAAAAACACCTGATGGCTGTGAATTGGCACCAGTTGGATAGGGATCAGTACTAAAAGTATACTAGACTCAGAGGAACGTTATCACAAGTTATGCACTCCGGGAGAGAGATGAGAAAACCATCCGCAGTAAAAGGAATCTGCGATGCAGCTGGAGTGTGACATGATAGGTAACATGATTTACAAGACAACCCATTTGATTTTAGAAACAATTCTTTGCACATAGCGATCAGAGTGGAAGGGGACATTTTTCGACTGAATCATAAATACTTGGAGGCTGGCGCTATGATAAGTGAGATTTCGTGACCTTGAAAAGTCTATGCCTCAGTGTGGATAGAGTAAGTGAAACACTGACCAGTTAACTGGTGATCGGATGGGTATTCGCAGACTCCGTATGTTCCCGGTTAGATTCTAGGCTGGTCCAGGAAGCTGAAGTAATCGGAATTGTATCGGATATAAGAATACGAGAACGCGTACTGTAATACTCAGAACTAGATTGGCTCAAACCCGGACTATGGACACCAATGAAATACACGGAGAAGTGTCAATATTTATTCATAGAAATAGGGCATGTTTTATGGAAAGCAATAGGTCATATCCTTGGTTAAATGACCATCGTCGAATCATGTAACTGTTTGCGCAAACGCATTGCATGTACTCACTCTGATGTAATATTCGCCCAGTGTACCATTGATCCAGCCCCATGAATTTTGAATGACATGAAGCTGTATCTGTTCGTATTTGGAATGCCGTCACACATGTCTGGATCACCAACGAAAACACCTATTACTGTTCATATTCAACATGTATTGAGTCATAACATATGCAGAAAAACATTTATAGAATGTGTTCATAGGATGCGTTGGCATGTTACTTCCCGGATGTACTGACCGAGGAAGAGTTACATCCTCGGAGTCCCTGCCTGAAGCCTTTGGCTAGAAAGCCAGACTTGCAACTCAGCAGAATGAAGCTTTGAGTCCGTAATCCAGTGTCCAGTTTGTCGGATGATGCGCCTTTCCTCTCTCCATTTTGGTGCAAAAACAACTCCACCACGGGAATGCGATGAGTAGGGCTTCATCAGCAGAATTTGTTTGAAACGCCTGATCAAGTAGCAGCATTTCTCAAGGTTAAACAGAGGGGATCCTCAACCAAAGGTACCTACTATGAGTATACTGAGGTTTTCTACTGTACCACTGCTAGTGATACCCAAACCACTTTTAAACAGCTGAACGCTATTTCCCGATATTCAATTCAGATTAGCTTTTTCTGCGTATGCAGGGTATTTAATTACATTTTTTGGATCCCCAGAGCATTCAAAAACGTTCTGCTATTGTGTGTGATCAACCCTTGCGACGACACTTTATCTGTCGAAATGTAAAACAACAAACAAATGATAGGCTGGATTTAATTTATTTCTGGCTCCGCCTTATGGATAACAAATATATCGTAACATGTGCAGTTCATTGAAATGAGAGTTCATACAAATCATTATAATTGACAATTTGTTGTAAATAAAAATTGTTTCATTCTCTTCAGTTAGTTTTTAACTCACCATGGTCAACTACTACTAACGAAATGAGAATACTCGCTACACTCTGAACCATTCCCTGTGCTGAGTATAAACGAATCAGGAAAATCACTGCTATAAATACTCACCAAGGCTGGTCTATTCTGATTTGGAAAAAAATTTACTCCAGTATAAATGCTGTTGCCCATACGAACCGACAAGTGTTTCACAGGGACCCGTTGCTTCAGTTTCGATTAGACCTGTACATACATACATATACTATTTCACTGAATTGTACATGTAAATGCTTATTTAAGTCTGAAGGATTTGGCACTCAGGGAGATCACAATCTGGCGGTGAGTTTAAATCCTGGCATCCGAGAAAAAATAATGTTATTGTAGTTGTTGAAATACCATTCAATCATATAAATTAAACAGTTTACACCGATAAATCTTGCTCAGTTTTGCTCCCATGTCTCATCACCAAAGTCAACGAATTGTTGGCACTTGATGACCTGCCACAGAATCACCTCTCCCCGCATTTTTGACGGTTCTGAATGTAAATCTTGACATTAACATGTTCTTTGCGAGTAAAGATTTCAAGCCGAAAACTCGTTTCATCCTTGGTGCTGGATTCAATGTACTACGATGGTGTTCATGTTGTTGTTGATGATGGTGGTGGTGGTGGCCGCGGCGGTGGAGCTTTACATTCTATCTCATTATTTATTACGTTAAACAGTAAGAAAACGGTGATTTTTTGCAACTGTAGCATTTAGCCAACACACGGAAATTATCACCAAAGGACCGCATACAACTGTACCAGTCAGACAATGCGCATAAATGCGTGTCCTAGGCATGAATGAGAACGATTATTTACTTGTATATAGATTTCGCCAATCCCAAAAATGATCTTGTCACTGATCACCGACAAAATTTCCACTCTGGGGTGGGAGAGTAGGGGGGGGGGGGGGGGGGCGGTGATTTACCACAGAACACAAGATTTACGATCTGTCAAAATAGATTGACTGTCCTAGAGAAGTATATAGTTACCCGGTGGCTCGGGGTAGATAGAGCCCCGTATTGATCAACATTCCTAATTAGCATATAATGGAATTCTGTGCGCTAAAGCCCGGAACCTATGTTTCGGTGTGTACAATATTATTATCAGCAGCATACTGTAATGCGTATGGGAATTTGTTATATGAGTGATTTCTTTGGATTAGTTGTGTTTTCTTTTTTTTAGACAGTTATCGACTGAATATGCACATCGATTAATTAACCAATTCCTTGCCTGATAGCTGTGCTAAAACCGTAATAGATTTGAAATCAATGACCACTGACAATGTGAAACTCCAATTTCCATAAAGACGAATCATTGTTCTGTTTAATATCTCATGATAATCACTCAAATATCAAATAGCAATTAAAATTTGCACCTCAGGCTGGTCCCACAAGTGAGATGCTTCTGATCAAGTGCAATCACTATCGAGTTTGACAAACTGAAACAGCCTAATCAGTTAGTCAGCGGTAACGCATTTTCGTAATCTGGCTGTGAGGGTCTTGGAGATTGATCCACACTGAAATTGATGAATGCACACCCAAATGCTAATTGAGCTGTTGATAACTAATAAAATCTAACCTACAAATTGGATGCCTTCAACAAAATTGATTGGCAAAAATTGCTCATCAATCGGCAATCGACATACTACGATCGAACTTGTGGCTAAACTATTTCTTTAAACCTCAGTAGTTCACATGCTACACAAAATGCCTTCATGTTCACTGCAAGATGTTGTTTTATCCCCTTTTTCAGTTTCCGTTTACAGCTCCCCCATGCCTGTAAACAAATCTACTCTTCTTGTTGAGTATGTAGACGATCTAGTATTCGGACTGTCCTAAATCAACCCATCATCTCAAAACAGTGTACACGATGACTTAACAGAAATAGTGCACTGGTCCCAACAAAGGAACTTCCGCATGAATCCTTAAAGATGTAATGACATGGACTTTCCCCTTTTCTGAAAGTTCGAAAGAATGATGAACTGTCAAATGCCAGCCACCTTCCCTGTTATATCTGCCGTAAATTACCGAATGGGTCGACAAATGTCTGTCAAATACCTCTGTGTTATTTTTGGCCGCAACTTCACCTGGTCTGAGCAAGTTGGGAGGTAGGTCGGGGGACTTACGTCTCATGTTTAAACGTCTTAAATCACTTTTCCAAATCATCTCATAAAGCGTTTTGTTTTGCTTTCGTTTTACTCCCCTGCCATTTTTCTCGGTCGTTTTTAACAACGACCATAAACCCATTTCCCGATCCCTCAAGATTCAGTCGATACGTACGTAGTCTTATACCACGGAAACATCTGATGCAGTATACGATGGCACTACGACATCATCTTAAATCCTGTAGAACATACTCCAAAAAGATTTTATCTGAAATTTCTCATCCCATTTATCTTGCGCTTAGTCAGTATCTTCCTTATTCATCTACCCGTTCTGGTTATAAACTTATAAAGACAAGCACTGAGACCTACAGGTACCCTATCATCCAGTATCTCATCAGATTTCTCACAAACTATAAACTCGTTGCCGAAAATCTGCACAAAGTTCTAATCTAAATCATGGATAACTACCATGGCCTGGCATTGGATTTTAGTGATATTGTTGGCTATTTCACTTTTTTAAATTGCTGTAATATATATTTCATGGGTTATTGATAAAACCCCACTGTTGTGGTTAACACCTCTCGGGGTGTACAAATTGATTCCCTCGCTTGAATTGACTGGACAATCCAAAGTTTCACGTTAAATTTTCTCCGTTTATTGCATGCTTAAAACTCTTTACCAGGAAAATTGATCGAATGTTAATAATTTTCTCAATTCATTTAAAAGAAATCCTCAGTTCACACTTGATTTCTCACTTGAGACACTTGGCGCGCTAATCGTAAAATTTTGCTTGACTACACAATCCGCGACCGTATTCATAAAGTGATCTATTTGATAGTGTGATTTGTAGTGTACTATTTGTTGCCGGGCAATGTCACGGAGCGTTTGCGGACGATACTGTGTTCCACGAATAAAGTCGCCCTGTTCTCTCACGGACAGTTCATGTTGATCGGGTCAGAGATAGCATGAATTGTACATGGCGTGAAGCTACAATCGAGGAAGATCAACAGCATTATTCACGCTAATTCCCACCATTCAACTCCAGATCCATCGCATGGAATGCCTGTGTGTTCCTACTATATGGAGCAGCTCACATCGGGGCTTTCACGAACGTGAATTACCGA